AACAGAGCCAATTATGAAAACCTGAAATATCAGAATTAGTGACGAAAGTTTACAATTTTCGGGACACCTTATATATATTTTATGGTTAAATTTTCCCCTCCATTCGATTTTCTCTGTTCCAGTTCCACTCGAAGTTCTTTTAGGCATTCTATTTGATTTGGAGTCTTATCGTCGATAATGGAAACGTTTTTTAAAGAGACGTTTTGTAAAAGTTTCTTTTTGTTCTTCAAAATATGTTTGGCTTCATGTTCATTTTGCATAATGACCTTTATCATCCTAGGGAAGCGATTGTTTGGTTTTCCAGTCCTGAAAAATGTGACAGGAGTGGAGTTAGACATTACAGTATCTAAAATATTTTTTAATATTCCATCATCGTGACTTTTCTTTGTTTCAATGTCTCCTGTAATTTCGGGTACACCCCTAACAAAAATATTCTTAGCCCGGTTAATGCGATCAACTGCTTCATTTGCTATGGTATCTGTAAATTTTGGAGATGAAGAATGATCCTCAATAGATAACTTGTTTTCGATCTGTAAAAGTCTTTCACTGATATCATTAGCTTTTTGGTCTATTAGATCAATTTTTGATTGAAGATTCTCTTTTAGATCTTTTAAGAGCGTCTTTAAATTAGCAAAGTTTTCGATATTAGAGCAGCAGTTGTTGCAAAGAATTTTAATTCCGCGTAGCTTATGCCTAGTAACGCGATCTTCGGCTCGTAGATCAGTGCAAGCTAAATGTATGTTCTGTTTACATGCTTCACATTGAAGTTGTTTTGATGATTCTCGATCATCGATTGACTTTGAACAGTTAGCGCAGGTCGACATGGTGGGAACAGCAGAGCAGCAGTGGGAGTGAATCGCCGTAAATAGATATAAACAAAATAAAAAGACTGACCTTGCAATCTGTAGATAATCCAAAATACTGGATCTCTGATGCACTTTATGATGAAATAAAAACACCACTGGCAATAGAAAATTCTTATGTTTAAACTGATATAAAAATGATCGTTAAACTCAAACAATAACCAACTGTAGTTTGTAATAATTCACAAGGAAACGTAAATGATGCCACACCCACCTATTGATATATGATAGGTATATATAGGGATATATGATAGGTTATTAGGTTTGTTTCGATTCGGAAATCTACTGTTTAAATTTGTTATCATCACAAAAAATTTGATATTATTTTCAATACGTTTGTATTAAAATTTATTTGATACTTCCCTGTATTGTTTAAAAATTAAATACAAAGAATGAGAAATCCCGGAAATTCGTAATTGTAATTTGATCCCTAAACCATAACAATTAACATCATTGGGTATCGGCACGTATTGGTAAACATAAATCATTCACCCACTCTTAAAATTTTATGTATATATGGTAAATATTATGACCTAAATTAAATTCTGATCTGATGTGAGCCGCCTTTGGTCCCATAAAATTTGAATTATGGGTGTTTGGAATAATACCACCTAATTATTTAAGGAACTTTTAAACAGCGTTTCTGCGATTGCCATACCGATAATCACTCTAAATAGTTTCATTTTCATTCTTTCGTTAGTAAACATTTTAACATTTAAACCGCATATTTATAATAGAAGGCGATACTATTGGTTCTTACGTCACATATTTAAAGCATAAACGTGTTGTATTTATATAGGTAATAATGTTCTTTCGATAGTACTAATTTTGATCATATTGAAATCGAGTCGAATGAAGTATCTCAAGCTAAAGTTCATTGTTAATGTTACTTTGTAACCTATTGGATTAAAAAAACCGAAAACCGGTTTTTGGAAAAACCGGTTTTTTTTGGCCGGTTATAACCGCCAGGTTAAACCGTAAGCAAAAAAAACCGGTATAACCGAAAACCGGTGTTTTGTCAAAAACCGCCATCCCTAGTAAGAACCCTGAGAAGAATAGACGGAGACACAGATCATTACTTAGTCAGAGCAAAAGTCAAATCCAGAATATCTAGCCACAAATACAATAAAACAACAATAAACCCACAATGAAACATGGACGAAATACACAATGCAGAGAAACAACAAAATTATAGAGAACAACTTGAACAAACCTTGAACTCTGAACGAGAATACAATGATATAGAACAGCTATGGGAAGCAACTGCCGAAATAATAACCACGACAGCGGACAAGATCTTTGAAAAGAGTAGGCAGAAGAATGCAAAAACATGGTATGACTAGAAATGTCAGAAACAGCTGGAAAAAAGACAAATAGTAAGGAAGACTTAGATACAACTGCAAACAGACCAAAGTAAAAAGGAATACGACGACTGCCGAAAAGAAATAAGAAAAATAATACGTACAAAGAAAAGAAACCATGAACAACAAAAATATGAAGCTATGGAGAGAGATCTGCCCAAACCAGTCTCCAGAGAATTCTATAAAGCAATTTCCTCTAAGAAAAGAGGACACAAAACCAATTCCATCCCTACACTGAGAGACAATCAAGGCCGTATGATAATCGACGGTAAAGAAGTAACTGAAGAATGGAAAAAGTATTTTAAAGACATTCTAAACATCATACAGGAAGAACAGCGCCAAGAAGAGGTTTATATCACATAAATCACATAAATAAGCTGAAAAATCGCAAACTGCCGGGTACGGACGAGATATCAGCAGAACTTCTGAAATATGGGGGAGACGCTCTACATCGCCAAATCTACCAGCTAATAATGCATATATGGTTAGACGAAAGAATACCAGCACGATGGAAAGAAAACATAATAGTGCTCATCCACAAAAAAGGGGACAAAACAAAATGCGCGAATTATAGAGGAATCTCACTTCTAAACACGTTTTAAACCCTTTAAAATTAAATAGATAAGGACTCAGTGAACATCATCATCATCATCATCATCATCATCATCATCATCATCATCATAAGTGGCTCGACAATCAGTTGTGGATCTTGACCTGCTAATAAGAAAGACGCCACCCTTATCACTTCCTAACAACTTCCCTTCATCTTCTGACCTTTAGAATCTGTATATCTTCTTCAATATCAGCAATCCATCTCCATCTTGGCCATCTTCTACTTTTTGTGCCCTTTGGTTTTGAAAATGTTAATCTCTTAGTATATTTGTGATCTGACATCCTAGCAATGTGTTTAGTCCATCTAAGTCTGTGCACTTTAACAAATTTCACTATTTATTGGATCGGTGTATAACTGATATAGTTCAAAGTTGTACCTTCGACGCCATAACTTATTTTCATTTACGGCCCCAAAAATCTTTCTAAGAATTTTTTCTCACAAAAATACCAGAAATAATAGAAGTATTTTATAATTTTGAGATAATGTCCACGTTTCAGCACCATATATCAAAACTGGTCTTGACGCGTCCGCAAACCATTTAAAACACTGCACCATGTATCTCATACTTCTAACCCTAACCACCATAATTATATCGTCAGTGATTGACAGAATTTACATCGATATATTAAACATGGTTTCGTTCATTTTAATATTTAATTGTCTGATTGCCTTGTTCAAGGCAATATGAAAGAAGAGACACGCCAGCGCGTCCCCCTGTCTTAGACCATTATTAATGTCAAAGAACGTACAGTTTTCTCCTTCAATTCTAACGCATAAGCTTACGGTTTGCAATGTAAGTTGGGTCAACTTAACTAAATTAGGTGGGATCCCAAAGTCTATTATTGCATTATATTATAATGCAGTTCTTTTCACACTGTCGTAAGCTGCTTTGAAATCAACGAAGAGATGATGTGTATCTATATTATATTCTAGTAAACTTTTTCTAGAAGAATCTATTTGTGTGCTTAACTTTGATGTGTAGTCGACTTTCCAGTAGTAAATCTTCATTGATATTGACCAACAATACCCTTTGTAAAATGTTTAAGTCTTTCAAACAATTCATTTCAGAAGATTTTATACGCAGATGCTAAAAGAGTAATGCCTTTATATTTTTTACACTACACTTGATTACCCTTTTTGTGCAACGGATATATTATGTCCTTCAGCCACTCTTTTGGTACCAATTCATTTTGTCATATAAGTATTATTAATTTATGAGTTGCTGCAAAAAGTCGATCACCACCTTTTTTATACATTTTCGAACAGATTTTATCGATTCCTGGGATTTTATTATCTTTGTGATTTAGGATGGCATTTGACAGTTCTTCTCTTGTAAGGTCTTTACTGCGTACTTGGCGAACAATCTTTATGCAAACCAACCGTCATTGAAAAACTTTCGGTCGATCCGACACAAGTCCTTACTTTGGTGTACACTTCCTCATATATCCTTTACGAATCTTACCCACGTCTCAGGAACAAAACAAATATTTTGGTTGCATAAATAGCTGTATTGAATCTATCTTACCTTCTTAACCTAAATCTAAACATTTCTGGTGTTTTATGAACGAAAACTTATACTATTGTAATACAATTGAGTAATAGAATCTTTAAAATTACAAATCTATTTCGTCAGACGCCAAAGATTTTTCAAAATATTGGGTTGCTGCTTTTTAAAAGCTTATAATATGTTTGCAAAATAATAGAGGGCTTTTTTAATATTCATAATATAACACATTTGTAAATTGAAAAGTAACATCTGGTAGATATTTGTAAAACAATCAATAACATCTAAATCTATTTGCAACCTTAAAACTTTTATAGAATTTTAATGGAAATATATATTTAGCTAGTGTTACAAAGAGACTCTTTCTAAAACCCACACATCCATGTTCATTACAAGATGTCAAATAATTTAGGAATTGTTAAAAGAAATTGATTTTGAATTATCTTATAACTACAAAAGTTGTAACTCTTTTTTATTTGCACTTACGTACAAACGTAATTATTGTAAGTTAGTAACTCTAGAATGTGTTCTAATTTATAATCTACTTGTTATGCTCTGTTTAACAAATATTTGTAAAAATGAATAGTGTAATATTTAAATACACTACAACACAATGATCTACATCGTCAGACAATATAAAAAGAGTAAATAAAATATACCTGTTCTACCAAATCTTCATTATATGCAAAAAACAAATCTTTTTCTCGATTTTTTGCTCGGTTTCGTCCAAATTTATTTTTGACTTGTTCAATTAAGGCATCAATATCCTGGCTCTCTTTTCTTACTCTGTCGATTGGTATTCTGTCTCTGGTTAAATCACTAGACGCAGTAGCTGTCCTTTCCTTAATTTGTCGAATATGCTCAATAATTTTTTCTTTATATCTCTTTCTAAAGCCAGGTTTTGAGCTGCTAGGTCTCGCGTCCGGTTTCGCCAAGAAGACATCATCTGATATTTCAGATATTGTCCTTCTATCAGAACTACTAGGCCTAAAAAGAGAATAATTAAGTACAATTTGCTAAGTACTGTTTTATTTAAACAATTAAAAGTAATTTTCGTAAGAGATTCGACTCCTAGGAATCATGCGAAGAAGCTAGATTTGCTAATTTTGCTACCCCAAAAATATACAAAAAAGTTTGCCACTCAAATCTGCAAACGTCCTCCTAAAACTCGTAGGGGTAAAAACTATAAACATCGATTTACTCAAAATATGTACATTGTGCGTGGTTTTTGAAACGAAGGTTTATTCTACAGAAAAAGTGCTAATAAACACTTTTGTTTAGTATTGTCCAGCTTCTGGAGGGTGTGTTAGGTAACAGCCCAGGGGTAAACGTGGCAAACTACTTTTATCTTTTTTTTTTGGTCTCAAAATTGACATCATCATCATCATCATTTTGGCTTTACAACCCTGTGTGGGTCCTAGCCTCCCCTCTCGTGCTACGTTTTTTCGTTCTGCCAACAATATTGATATCATCAGCATATGCTAGGATTTGCACAGATTTGTTATATATTAAATCGGTAGTTGCGATTTGTGACGTACGTATTACTTATTCCAGAGCTAGATGGAATAGTATACAGGAGAGTTGGTCTTCCTGACGTAGCCCGTTATTTGTTTTAAAAGGTTCAGAGAGTTACCACTGGATTCGTACTCTGCATTCAACTTTTTCAAGGGTTAGTTTGGTTAGACTAACCAACTGATTTGATACTCCTAGGTTTATCATTGCTCTAAACAATTCTCTCCTATTTACAGAGTCGTAGGCTGCCTTGTAGTCTATAAATATGAGGTGCATGTCTACAACGTATTCCAGTGTTTTCTCTAGAATTTGTCTCAGGGTTGAAATCTGATGAATTGTTGATTTACCACCTCTAAAACCAGCCTGGTATTGTTCTATTATTCGCTCTACATATGGTGCCATACGATGGTATAGTATATTGGAGAATATTTTATACGCTGCGTTTAGAAGCGTAGTTCTTCGATAGTTAGAGCATTTAAAAATATCTTTCTTTTTGTGTATGGTGCAAAGTATTACAATATTCCAATCACTGGGAAGGGACTTCTGTATCCATATTTCTTTTATAAGCTGCTGTAGCGTTATTATGATATATATATATATATATATATATATATATATATATATATATATATATATTATATATATATATATATATATATATATATATATAATAATATATATACATAGACATACAACCACTATAAACGAATCAGAAATGAAAAAACAGGAACACTAGCAGATTTTCTCAAAACAGAAGGAAAACATCTTTTACAGAAAACAAAAAGAAATATGGAGAATGATCAGTAAACAAAGAAAAGAGATTAACGAACTAATCAAAAGACACACATTTAGAAGGTAACATGGATAGACTACTTTCGATTCCTGTTTGCTAAAGGTGACGATAATGAACCACCAACACCAGAAGTGACGACAAACGAAGAAATAAATATTTAGTTGGAAGAGGTAAAGGAAGCATTAAGGAAATTAAAAAATAGAAAATCACCAGAAGAGGACATAATACCGAACAAATTCTAATTGTACAGAGGACAAGATCTAACCAAACAAATATCAAAACTAATTCAAAAAATAATAAAAAAATATTGTTCTGGAGCTATTTTCTTGTGGCATTTTAAAGTAATTACTATTTAAATGGGTATCAGTCACAATTAAAGGTTAAAGTACGTTTATTGACATTTCAATTTCCACTTCGAAAATTGTTCTCAAAATACAAACATTAGTAAATTAATTAAACAATTTAAATAAACAATATGTCAATAAACAAGTATGTCAATAAACATACTTTACCCTTTATTGGTCGCCTATTCCCATTTAATTGGTAATTATAATCGAACAAACCAAAAGCTTAAGAATGGAGATGAAGCATCCGAATAACTCTCTTCAAAAAGGGGAGATAAATCGAACCCGGAAAATTACAATTAATTAAATTATTTTTTAAACACAACACTAAAATTAACAACCAAAGTGATAACAAAATGAAATAATAACACTAGCAGAAGAACAACATGGTTTTAGGTCAGAAAGATCATGTGCCGATGCTATATTTGTAATGAGGCAAATGCAAGAGAAATAATTACAATACAACAAACCAGCATATCTATGTTTGTTGGACCTTACAAACGCATTTGACGGGTCAAATTAAAAGACCTTATCCAAAAGAAGACCACGAAAACGATGGAACGACAACTTACTGGAGGCACATTGAAAAACAGACAGAGTGATGTCTATATAGAAAGTGGAAGAAAAAGAAGAAGAAAAAGAAGAAGAAAAAGAAGAAAAAGGGTCATTTCTCTACACTAATATTTAGGTTATTCTTAGCAAATACGCTGGAAACATAATTAATCAAAAAGGCGACAATTAGCTGCACAACACGATGAGGACGATAGCTAGCACAATTAAATCAACTATTACTCAATAATTTCCAGTGTTAAGTCACATTCAGTCTTCACATCTATCAGTTGACGCATTCGTACGTAAATATAAAAATATCCTAAACAATGTAAATCTCTCAATCTGCACCATGATACTGAGGATGCAGAAAATAACTGACTGTTGTAGAAAACGGACGCATGGTTCCATTACTGGACTACTTGGCACAACAACAACATACCCTACATTACCAACATGTATGTGCATACATCTTACATAAACGAAACCATCAACCACATTATGAAAGAGTACCGTACAAAATCTTAAAATAGTACTCCTCAAAATTTCTTTTTTGTAAATTTGAAAAACAAATAAACTACCTATAACTATTGTTAACATGTTAAATTACCCTATACATTCAGTTCGTTCCCTAATCCCATTTTATTGCTGTTATTCTAAGACAGATGTTAAATTAGGTCCTTTCAGCGGATCATTGCGGTCAACGACAAGAGACTTAATATATTTCCTTTGAGATTTGTCCCTCCTTATTCTGGGAAGGTCTAGCCGTTAATGATTTTAATTTCACAGAGTTAAAGGTCCTCTGAAGCAGTGACCATATATGAGCAAACTTTGCCAAAACTTTAAAGCCCTTTATGTTTACTACGTTTTAAACAAATAATTGGTTTTAATTGTTTATGCGATTATTAAGAAATCTAGGATAGTTTTAAATAACGCTTTTTATTAATAAAAGAAAATAAACTTATATTTACACGTTTTCATTTTAGTCATTTTTTATTTTTCTTTGTGCCTGAGATTTAAAAACAGTAGCGTATATAAAAAGGTATGTTGCCTACGAATAAATAGTTTTAGTGTTTGTATATATATATCGTTATAATTACGATTGATGAATGCCTTTTAACCTATAAACATCGTTGTTACAAACTGCCAGGGTTTACTTTTCCTCCTCCTTAGTCCTAATCCCTTTTGGGATGTGGTGACACCATCAGGCCTCCACAGTTTTTTTTAGGATTTTCCTCCATCTTTCTCTGTCCTGGGCTAGTTGTTTAGCTTCATGTAACCCTTTGTTAATCAATGTTTTTGTTTGATCTACCCAACGGCTTGGAGATCTTCCATTAGGTCTTTTTCCTTCAACTCTACCCTCGACTATCAGTTTTTTCCATTGTGCTTGTTCTTCTAGCAATGTATCCAAAATACTGCAGATATCTCTCTTGTTTTTGTTTAAGCAATCTATCATTTACTTTAAGTTGTTCTAGTATCAATACGTTAGTGCGATGATCAATCCAGGATATTCTCAACATGCGGCGGTATACCCACATTTCAAAAGCGTCCAGTTTACTTTTATCCGCTATCTTTAAGGTATACGTTTTGGATGCATATGTGGCTATGGGAAAAATAAACGCCCTTACCAGCCTTAGTTTTGTGTGTATTGTTATGCTAGAATTTTTCCAAATTGCTATCAGTTTCATCATGGCTGTTCTAGCAATAGTCAACCATCTACGTATTTCTCTGTTACACCCTCCGTTATTTGTTATTAGGGACCCCAGGTATATGAAAGTATTTACTACTTCAAAGCCTCCAATTTCTTTAATGTGTTAAAGATTATTCCGAGCTCTGTCTACTATCATGATCTTTGTCTTACTCGTATTTAGCTTTAGTCCATATTTTTTGCTTTTTTCCTCCAAACATCAAACATGGTAAACAGGTAAACTCTCCATGTTTGTTTGTTTTCAGGGTTTACCTTTACATATTACTGAAACTTTAAACATCTGAAACATATAGTGGTGGTACACAATGGCACATGTTTCACTGTAGACCATACTGAATCATTATATATCAATGGTATTCTATTGCAGGTATACCATGGTGAGGAGAAAGAAGGAAAGATCAAGAGCCAAATTTACAAGTGAACAAACGGTCGCAGCAGTCACAGAGGTTAAAAAAATGGAACTGCACTTTTCGTTGCATCAGATATATTTGACATAAACTTTAGAACAGTAAGGCTATATGTTCTAAAAGAAAAAAAAATGATTCAAATGCAATAATGGAGCTTAATTATGCTGTTAAAATAATATTTAATACAGAGCATAACACGTCGATGTGTGATTATGTTAAGAACTGTAGGAAACTAGCTTTTGGGTTGAATACCCTAAAACTCAGAGAATTGGTATATGGATTGGATGCCAAAAACAATATCACTATGCCAGAATCTTGAAAGGACAACAAATAAGTAAGGAGAGATTCTTGAAGAGCATTTATAAAAAGAAATTTATCATTAAGCTTAAGAAGGCTAGAAGGATGTTCACTGATAAAGCTTACATCATTTAAGAAACCAAATCTTGACCGATTTTTCTTAAATTTGGAGCTAATATACGTAAAATGTCGATTTATTTTTGATAATATTCGCATCTATAATTAAAACGAAACTGCTACTACGACTGTCCAATGACACTATAAAGTTGTGACACAAAAATGTGTTAAACAGCTTGTGCAAAACCAGTGCACAAATGTCGAAAGAAGATTACTCGCTACTACTTGTGCAATAATTCGGGATAATGGAACATTGCTACCTCCTTCTTCTTTAAGCGCCATTTCCGCGGCGAAGGTTGGCAATAATCATGGCTATTCTGACCTTCAAGGTAGCTGCTCTGAGCTGCAACCAAACCACTCTCAAGGGTTCTTCAACCAGAAAACGCGTCTTCATCCTTTACTTCTCCTACTCTGTATTTTGCCTTGAATTATTAGTCTCAAGATGTCGTATCTTTTGCCCCTCATCACATGTCCGAGATATTGCAATTTCCTTTCTTTTATTGTATTTTCCATTTCCCTCTTTCTGCCTATTCTCCTTCACATTTCTGTATTCGTGACTCTATCTACCATGGAATCCTTAACAATCTTCTAAAAGCAACATGTAAAACTTGTTAAGTCGATTTATTGTATTTCAGTTTGATGTCCATAATTCAGCTCCATAGTAGAGTACACTGTGTACATAGCATTTAATTAGCCTTATTCTGAGGGCGAATGTTAGATATTTGCTGCATAATGCATAATGCTGATGTTATTATTGGTGATTATCGTTCCCAAGTAAGTATATCTTTTTACTTTCTCAATCTGCTGGTCGCCTACTGTTAATATTTCGTTGCCTGACCCCTCTCCTTATCTCCACCCTTTCTGACAATTCAGTTCCAATTTTCACATTTGATCGTTAGCTGTAGTATAAATTTGATATCAATGTTACATCCAGATTCTTGTTTTTAAGTATTTCTATAAGTCAGTCATGTTTTTTATTATCGAATGCCTTGTTGTAGTCTATAAAGCATACATAAAGATCATGAATAACATCCAAATATTTTTGAGTCAGCACGTTAAAAGAAAATAGTGCCTCTGTTGTGTCCACTCCATTGCGAAATCCAAACTGGGAATCAATAATATCCACCTCGTATGTGACATTAAACTGATCGTTTGAGAATCACTACATTCTTTAGGCATTTACTTTCTTTGGTAGACAAATAAATGTTGATGTCAGCATTTCACGTGGAATGATTTCTGTAGTTGGACTAAAAGATCTATGTTTTTTTATTGACCAGTTTTAGCAATTCACTTTGTATTTCATCTGGACCAGCAGCTTTATTATTTTTTATGGACTTTACTGAATGCATAACTTATGACTTTGTTATTTCGGGTTCCTCGTCTCTACTTTGATTATCTTCATAAATATTTTCCTATCTCTGGTCATGAAATAATTCCTCTATATATTCTTTCCATCTTCCTAATTTTTGTTCCACCAGTTTCTACCCCAATTCATTGTCTTTTCTTCTAAAAATTTCGATACGATAATGTTAATGATGCTTCGCCAGGAACATTACGACTATAATCCAAGTGGATGGATAACGGAAGTATTATACCATTTTATTAAGCATACTGATGCTAAACAACAACAACAACAAAAACACGATTTTAATATAAAATAGAATCAAAACAAGTAATTACCCTTACTTGTTTATTATGTAATATTCTTCTTACAAATAAAATAAATAAATATGTTTGGATTATAGTAAGAAAATATGTTATAACTTTACCTCTTGGAGTAAGTTCTTGGTGTTACAGAAAATAAATTTACTATATTAGCATCCTCACTTTCAGTTAATGTATTAATAGATGAAACCGATGGTGAAAGATCCACTCGATTCGACCTTCTAGATTTCTCTTTGGATATTGGTTTAAGATCGACCAATTCTATAAGCTCCTCCTAAAAAAGCAGAAATAAAGTGTATTATTTTTTAATATTCAGCTCCTTTAAAAAAGATGCAAAAGTGCGCCTTTTCCAACCAACCAGCTTTCTTCATAAATCCCCTTTTCATATTATGAGAAAAAAGACGGGAATTATCAATTTACCAAGAATCTGTAAATTTCTATTAATTCTTTTTAATTTATTTTTTTAATTCAAATATTACTTTTAAATTTAAATAAAGTATTTATATTATATATTCTATTATTTATATTTTAAACAAATTATGTTATATTTAAACATTTCAATAATATATTATGTTTGCTCCTAATATCACCTACTAACGTAATAACAAAACATACGTTATATACTTCTGACAGACCTGTCAAAATCTAACTAGATATTAAATTAATAATAAAATATAAATAAATATTATTTGATAGTAAATTTAATTAGCATATAAACTAAATAAAATGTTTAAAATAATAATTATATTTAAGTATATGAAATTATTTCAAAACGGAGAAGTGTCATAAAAATTTAAACAAATGATTCAATATTGTCAATATTGTTGTAACGTAGTTAATCAAACTTATATTTTTAGATACATTTAAAATTAGGAGAATGCATTGATAATATATTGCCAGTCAAAAAGCGGCCGCAAATATTTTGTAATTCAATTAATAGTAATTCATTTTTCACAATAATTTTATTTGTTATTTATTTTATAAATAAAATAATATAAACTTATATTAATAATAATACGTTTTACATTTCATATTAAAGCTATTTTTTTTTAATATGATAATATAAGGTTGCCTGAGAAAGAATGGTCGAAAATTAGGGTTGCCAGCTGTTAAAAACGAGAGGTACGAAAGATAAAATAAAAAACTAGTGAGCAATGCTACTGGTTTGAAGTGTCAGTTGTGTGAATTTTTAAAGCATGAGTCGATAACTATATATTAATATACATATTGTCACTTGTCACACATCCCAGACTCTATTTTACTTTAACTTTGATACCTCGAGTTTTTAACAGTTGATAATCCTAATTTTCGATTATTTTTTCTCGGGCAACCTTTTATCATCATATTAAGAAAAAAATTAGCTTTAATAAATATGAAATGAATATACGTCAGGAGCAGCGTATTTTATTTAAAAAATAAATAAACGAAATCAAATCTCTATCAAAAACTAATTACTATTAATTAAATTAAAAATATTTGCAACCACTTTTTGACTGGAAAACTATTATAAATGTCTTCTCCTAATTTGAAATCTATATAAAATGTAAGTTTGATGAGCTACGTTATGAACGTAGTGATCATGCAGTGGCATCTTTTAATATTATGACTTTTAAATTTTGATAATCGTAACGAATCGAATCTTCCATCGATGGATATTCTTTTAATTTTTTACTTCTTTTAATAATGTCTGTATTTTGTTTGTTACTTTTCATGCAGTTCTTAATTTAACTAGTGAATCAGTGTGAAGAACCGCTATTCTATGACGCTACTCGTGACACCTCCTCATGGCGCAAGTTTCATGACGTTCATATCAGATTTTTACTATAGAGAAAAAATTATTACAAGAGCATCATAGAAGCTTCGCTTTATACAATTTTACGAGTTAAAACGTTACAAATGTCAGTTACGCGCGCAAAATCAGTTTTTTTAATAATATTTGTATCAACTTAATGGTAAAAATTCAATATCTTTTAATCAGTTTATTCCATAGACAAAAATTAAAATGGATAATTAAATTAGAATAAAAAAGATACAGTACATAACTTGTAGTGTTTTATATTTAATATAGTTTCTGTTTAAACTTTTGTAATACGCCCCTGGTTGTTTATACCAAGAGATTCCTCAATGCGTAATAACGCTGGAAATATTTTTTGTCTCTGTTACTCTGTTGCCACATTAAAATTAGGGTCGGTAGAATAATCAATAGCTACGTGTTATTTTTACCCAATTTAAAAGTAAATATACATGAGTCCTCTAATATTCCGGTTGAAAAAAAGTTGTTTTGTTCGTTTCGAGTTTGTTAAGAACGAATATCAAGGGGATATAGTTTGTTTTAAGTTGGTAGGCAAAACAAGCTGCAAGATGAGAAAGGGAAATCATTTGTGGCGTCGAATTTGTAGAATTTAACGCAGATAGGAGTGGAAGAAAAGATTTGAAACTAGATAGACGTTTTTGCGGACTAAGAGTTAAACCAGATCAACCGAAAGATGTAGAATGTTGGGCAATTTTGAATCAAAAAGTCGATTCAATTTTTTTTGTGATAATCTTAAGACCAGTCAAAGTGATGATACTCTTTGCAATACAGTTTTGACAAAGTAGTCATTAGAAGATTTGTATAGCTACCGGAAACTTTTGAAAAGTATTGTATAGAATGTCCCCGTCGTCTGCTTTGTTACTCCACAAAACCTGATTTGATCGGCGTTCCTGAGTATGGAAATGGTTTCCTGTTTTCCAGTTTAAGAACATTTTTAATAATTGCTTTCATTAAAATAAAAGAATTTGTAATAATTAAAGTTTTATATTATGTTATGACTCGTAGCTAAAAATGTCACATTTTATTCTGATTTAAAATGTTATGTTGACATATGACATTTGCTCTAATCCATTGTTGTTGTAAAACAATTTCAATTTGATTATTATATATAACAGAAATTTCATATATAAGGTTAAATTCTACAGTATTTTCATAAAAAAGATATCCATAAGTTTTTTGATAATCTAATTTGGCCATATTATAACCCACAAACCATTTAAAAAAAAAATTTGTAGCAATCTCTTTTGTAAACGAATAACACGTAAGTTTTTGTTAATTTATATTATGTTATAAATATAGTATGTTTCTTGTGTAATCTGTATTTTTGGTAACTGTTTGTTTGAGACAAAAATAAACGTTTGATTAGTTTCTCTGATCCATTTTGTGTTTTAATTTCGAAAAGTCTAATAATCCTTGTATGTATGGGATGAGGATTTGAAATAGTTATGTTTAAAAATGCGCAATTTAAACTTTTACATTACAAACGATATAAAACGTTTAAAACTGCTTCTTTTCGATTGCATAGTATGTTTATCCAAACTACAAAACTACAAAACAATCCAATATAAATATACATTTAAAACTCCAGAGGCACAAATCTATGATATTATAGTCACTAATAGAAAAAATCCACTTAAAGCAGATTCTAGATATCCGAACTTTAAACTCAGCAGTGGCAGGAAATGAACACAAACTAATACTAGCAAAAATAAGAATGAAAATAACACCAAAACATTTTGTACAGGAAATCACCGAGGAAAAGTTTAATGTAGAATCACTGTAAAAAGACTGTGAAGAGAAATGTACCAAAGGAGGCTAGCACAGAAGATACAGCTGAAACAATTAGACGACAACAGAAGCTCTAGGAAAACGCAAAATCATACTGAATAAAAGAAACAACAATACACCATGGTTTAGAAAAGAAATAAAAGAGAAATGTAAAGAAAAACGTAAGACCTACTCGAAGTACAAAACATCAAATACTCCAGAATCCCGAGACACCTATAGAAGAATAGGAAATGAAACAAAGCAGTTGGTAAGAAGAACAAAAAATGAACAGTTAACAAAAAGGATGGAAACTGACTTCTACAGTACACATAAACAAATATAAAGATTTATAAGAAACCAATGGAAAAAATAGCAGAATTAAAGAAATACAATAACTAACCAGCAACCGAATGGAAAAGATACCTAAGGGAACTTAAAGCAAAGAAAAATAATAATCAACACAATAACAACGCCTGAATTAATACACAAAATAGAAATAAGTTTTTAGAAAGTAGAGATAGCCATAAATTTAACCCAAAAATCATTAGGACCAGACGGAATAACCAACGACGTTATAAAACACGGAGGAGAAAGTATAACCCTAGAGATAACAAAACTTATACAAAAACTAATATTGCACTGCAAGATACCAGACGCATAGAGAAACAGAATAATGATACCAATGTTCAAGAAGGGAGATAAAGAAGACCCCAACAATTATACAGGGTGAGTCATAACTATTGGGACATAGACTAAGGACAGGTTATTTGGATCAAAATATGGCTATTGGGCCAAATATGTTGCTGAGAAAAAAGATACAGGGTGTTAAAGTTAATTTTTGTTTTTTTGTTTTTTACTAATAGTTTTCCCTGTATATTTATAAATTGCTATCAAAATTGGCACAGAGGCATAATCTTAGACAAGAAATAGTATTTTATTTACAATTCCACTATCAAATACCAAACTAATAAACAAAGTTGCAACTAACGTAAGGTTTCCGTTTTGACGATAAATCAAAACTAAACACACTTTATAGTCTAAGAGCCAAGTGGGCGGCTACCTATATGTATTTGACGATACCTGGATTTTTGTACAGTGAGACCCCTATACCTACTGTACATGAGATGGAGAGTCACTAAGCTCCAGGTGGCCGACTTGGCGGGCGCTCAGGTAAGACAGGTATCGATTTTTGGCCAATTTTATAAGTATTTGACGACGTCTGCCGCTTTGAAATTTGAAAATATATTAATATTATTATCGGAAAATAACAATGGCAGACCATTATCGCGCGGTTTTCATTGCGGCAGACAATTTTGAAAGTGCTCAAAAAAATAAAATTTTCAAAGTAATTGACCAGATCTGCCATTAATATATTTCATTTATTAGGGTCTTAAAAACTTATATTGATCATGGCAGACGTCTTCATGGTGGACATACTTCAGTAGACAAGAAAATCTTAGCTATTATCCGGTCAGATGTATCTGTATGACGTTCCCTGTTTCATATCAATATCATTTACGTTCTTACTGTATTCATAGCAATTAATACTTCATTTTGCAAATTATGGACTAAAATTTAGAAATTTGATGATAAAATAGTCAATTTATTTGATTTTTTTCTTTTAATTTATTCACAACAAAATTGAAAAAAATGAATCATGAATTACAAAAAATATTTTCTTTTATTGATTTGAA